CCCCACCCCGTCACTTCAGACAGCACACCTTCCCCCACCCCATCACTTCAGACAGCATACCTTCCCACTCCTTCACTTCAGACAGCATACCTTCCTCTCCTCTTGCCACTCTCCTCCTGTTTCTTCTTCTCTGCCCTGTTAATTGCTCTCAGCGCTGGCATGTAGTCAGCACCGATGCACGCGTACTTGCCCTGCACACACGCGGGTAGGAGCCGGGCCACCGATATCACAGCTTCCCTCTGCATTCGACTAGTCCTGAAATGACGACAGCAATAAAATACGCCGGCCATCGTGTACTGTTCTTGTGTGAAAGTTTCTGATGTAATGAACGCGTCTAGAATAATTATTCGAAGTATAGTTATTATAATTACACAATTATGCAAATAATGCTCAAGCGTTATATGATGGAATGCTTATCAATATTTTGTTAGTGACATAATTCTCATTGCACAATCTGTGATGCCAAAGACGTGCAGAGAATTTGCAAGACTATGAGATTTTAATTTTGCTTTGGTTTTTATTACAAGGTTTGTGAGTTCATATTTCAGTGTTGCTAACTGACGAAATATAATCTTCTGTCAACATAATTCACCTCTCATCGACAAGATATGAGCTGGACAACTGCACTCCACCACCTGCTGGCATCTCGTGTACGGGAATCGTCAAACATTGCACGGTGTCTCCATCTGGCGAGTCTTTTAACAAGTTTCCGAGGCGAGACGAGCAGCGAGTTATGGACAGAGCTTTCACGGAGGCAGCCAAATCTAACCGCATGTCATCCGAAGTGCTGCAATCACCGTCGTACAGCCGCCGAGCATCTGCCGCGTGGAGCGCGGGCCGCAAACTATCCAGAGGTGCGTCGCCTCTCTCCCGCACTGGAGCGTAGGTGTCCGCGAACGCCCGGACGTCGCACAGGTCCGACAGCGAGCGGACGGCCTCGTAAACGCACCTTCTCCTCTGCGCCTCCGCCGGCGACGGCTTCTCCCCACACTCGTCCCGAATCGCGCAATGCTCTCCCTTGCCACCGCCGCCGCCGCCGCCGCCGCCGCGTTCGTCCTCCCCTCTGTCTCCGCTCTCCCCAGCAGGAACCTCCCGCGCCGACCCGGCGTCGCCGCCTCTCCGAGCGGCCGTCGCGAGCCCGTCCGAAGACTCGTCGCTGCTGTCGAGGAACGCCGTGATGCGGCGCCACCTGCAGGCGGGCGTCAGCCGCCGCCAGCCGTCGTCGGACAGGCGCAGACGCTCGCGCGACGCGACGATGCTCGCCGGCAGCGGCAGCAGACGCGACACGAGAACGTTCTGCAGGACGTCGACGCTGACGACAGCGTACAACGTCGCGAGCTCGCTCAGCCCGCGCGCGTCGTCGGGCGCAGCCGTCGCCGCGGCGATGCCGCAGAGCGACCGCAGGCAGCCGCGGCGGACCCCCGGCGGCGCCTCGTCCGCTCCCGGCAACGCGTCACCTTCGTCAAAGGGGCGTGTGCCACTCGCAGGCACCCCCTGCTGGATTTCTCTTGAATTAGTGCCCTCGCATTTGTCATCTTCGCAGAGGGTAGCGGTGGCAGGATTTGACGACTCGCACACCTGCTTGTAGTCCTGCGAGTCAGACCTCGGGAGCTCCGGCAGGGATGTTGGAAGCCCGGTCGAGGATGTTGGGAGCACGGGCAGGGATGCTGGGTGTGTGCGAAGAGATGTTGGGAGCGTGGGGAGGAATCTTGGGAGCTCAGGCAGGGTTCCGGCACCCGAATTCACCCAGAACTGCAGCGAGAGCATGCATCGGCGGATGTCGCCGGTGAGGAAGCTGACGAGAGAGAGAATGTCACGATGATCGGTGCGCACTCCCTCCGCGAGGCACATCGCCTGCAGGTGGCTTGCCGTTGTCGTCTGCCGGAGACATAACGGACGGTATAGTCTGACGTCAGGTGCTTCAACCTCACACCCAACTTTTCAATTACAAGGTGCCACGAGCATATTGGATTAAGATTATTATTTTCAATACGTACGTGATAGGAGAAATGCAAGTCTAGTTTCATAAAAATGTTGGGCAACGACTCGTCAATCAGAATCTCACGTAATTAGAAAACACAAACTATAAGCACTGCTACGTGTTACATAATACATCTATACATTGTATACACGAATTTGCATAATTTCCGTTAGTAGGAAAGGTTTGCGGTAGCAGCACGGATATACGCACGCAGAATGGTGAAGAGACTTACGTAAGTGGGGACGCGGAATGACAGCTGTTCGTATGTAATTTTCAGTTTGAGGCTGACGTCAGGGTGGTTGGTGGTCATGATGATAGGTCGCTTGGTCGTGGCTATGAACATGTTGACAGCTGGCCAGAATCCCTCATCTAGCTCCTCAAATACATTGTCAACCTAAGCAATACGCAGTTGTTCGTGAACACGTCCAATTGTTTAATGAGTAACAAAATAAAAGACATCTAATGAATCGTTTCCTGTAGGTAATGGCTGTGGAAACTTTGGGACGAAATTTTTTCGATTTATGAAGCAGTAACCAAGAATAGATAGCATTTTGTGTGTTGCCGCCTTGAGATATACAGTAGAGACAATATGATATATATCTCACTTCTTCAAACAAGATTAACGAGTTGCTTGATAGCTTCACGCTTGCAGCTTGAGTGTTGGTTGTCTGACTGATACTCTTGTCATCGTATGCAATCTCCCGTTCACATTTCCTCATCCCTTTTTCACCTATGAAAACGTTTAGTAAAGAATTTAAGGAAACAGGGTACAATAAAGATGATATAAGATTGATCATTCAACACAACAAAATTCTATCGTGCTGCAGTAAAGATGAGTAAATTGAGATTTAGCATGAAGCTCTTCAAAAATCATATACCATAATAGTAATGATAATAGTATACAATTCAGGAAACTAGATAAATAAATAGTCTCACTTAATGCAAAAATGTCACCGTAACGCACGTAAAGTTTTCATAACTTATTTATCTGATTTAAATCAATCTTTGAACTCGAGTCGTGACCACACCTTTTCTAGGAGAATTTTTCTGGACTGCAGTTTTTGCCTTAGCAGATGCTGCAGCTTTGAAGAAAGCACTAAATGCGTTCGGCGCAGATTTTGACGGACGCTGACTCTTTGCTGTGGTCTGGTCAGAGAGTGCTGCCTTTAACATGTCACTCATACTCACACCCTGCCATACAAACAAGAATAACTCAATACACACTTAAATACACTGTCACATAAGACCTGCACTGGAAACCTGCACTGGACAACATGAGTAGTCAGTCACACATGTTGTTGATTCATGTCACATGTCAGTCAACAAGTTGTGTGAGATTGTATGGTCCAACTAGCAGCATCAACGTTCTCCTTTTCTTATCCTGATCATGATATGGATGAAAGACACGGTGGGACCGAGTGGCTTACATCACAGTGTTGGTGGAAGACACGGTGAGACTGAGTGGCTTACCTCAGATTGTCAGGAGACATGGTGAGACTGAGTGGCTTACCTCAGATTGTTGGTTGGAGACATGGTGAGACTGAGTGGCCTCTTGTAACTGGGAGAGGATGTGTTTTCCGGTTCGACGACTTGACGCGTTCACCTCAAACACCTGTGAGAAGAAATAGCAATATGAACACAAGACTTCAAATACACAGTCCAGCATACCCACATCAACCTTGCATGTATAAATGCGTTCACAATTTTCATGGAGTCACATAGGCCACTGCTGATCTAAATGAAAGGGTTAGAGAATAAAATAGGAAGAACCTGCCTCTTGATTCGCATTAAATTCGAACTCCGAATATTACACAATTTATACCCGACACCAGTATCTCAATGGATTTTCATCGATCCTGTAAATGTTAAATTTAGAAGCCATAATCCCGGGAAAATATGCGGAAGATTCTTGTGCTTAAAAACAATGTGTCCTTTCAGCCTAGACGCCAACGTGACCAGAGAACATGATGTCATACTTTGAAGCCCAATTCCTCTGCGAGGGCGTAAACAACAGCAGTCTTTCCGATTCCGCTGGCTCCCTCTATGAGCATCGTCGTGCACATGTCATTGTCTTCTTCTTCCTCACTTCGCCAACTGTCCCTGCTGTCACTGACGATAAAGTCAGCATCACTATCACCCGACTCATCCTTGCTCTTACAGCCTGAAATAAATACATTCTTATTACTATAATTAATTAATAAATTATGCTTATTACCAACACCGTTGTGCGGCTGTACAAATTTTGCTGCAAAATGAATTACTTCGATGTGTTTAAAGATGTGTCAATGAATGTTAATGCACCTTTCTGCTTGCTTTTATTTTTTTTCTTCCTCTGCAAGTCTTCGTTCTCTCTTTTCATGGTCTGCTTCCAGTCCTGGAGCCAACGCTTGAGCTTCGCCACACTAGCCAAATTCCCGATCAATTCGGTTGCACATGTGGGCTGGTACTTATCTGTCCACAAATCTCCACCCAGTTTGCCTGCTAAGCATCAAAAACATTCCCATCATTTAGTCAATTGGAAAATATAAAGGTACACATCCTGCACAAAGGTACACAAACGGGCATTTGTTATTATTTCTTCGGTCAAAATATCGGTGTGACAAATACCGTCAGTTGTTCCTGAAGATAGTTTTGAAGTGTGTGTTGTTGCATCTGAAGAAATGTCAATGACTTCGGAGTTCTTCAACTTCACCGTACAACTGTCTGGCTCAATGATTTCAAGACTGCCCGACCGTTGTCTCTTTTTTCCTCTGGTCACTCGACTTTCCGGTTGGCAGACCTTTGCATTCACTTCTGTGACAATGTTTCACGTAAAATAAGTACATAAAAACTTACTGTGAATTGAAGCTAACCAATAGCTTGTTATACACTGTAACTGTTAGAGATTTTCACTTAATTATCATCAAATCATTATACAACGCATTCGAATGTGCATATGCTGAACCTGAATTTAATCCCAATAAAAATCTAATTTTAGTTTTACTGAATTTAGATGATCATGTAATACATCGGCACGTATGTATGTACACATGCCGTATGAATTTACATATCAATAAATTAGATGAATAGACACAGTGAGAGTTGGCACCGAGTTCAGAGATAGTGAGACTAGAGAGGATGGCTTCTACCTTCTGATGTACAGCTTCCTCTCCTTCGTTTTCGTCTGCCTCCTGCTTCCTCTGTCTCAAGCTCCTCCCCTTCCTTTGCTTTTCTCTTCTGTGTTCGCTTAGCAGTCGAAGCCGCAACCGTTTCCCTACCCGAACACTGCATCTTCGGCTCGGGAAGCACATCAGTCGCTGAAGAACAAATGTTTCTGTTATACAGAATTGCCTTGCGTCTTACAGCCCGCATGGTATGGAGAATTTAAAATTTAGAATTATGCAACCTTTTCCGAAAAGAGAGCTTGAGTGGTGGCAGTAGTATTTATTGAGCATTGCAAATGAGCTGGTTTCAGACTACTATTTCTTTTAAACAAGAGAATAATTGAGCATAAAAAGAGTAACTAGGTAAACAATTAATTCGAATTAAGCCTAAAATAAATAAGCATACAAGCATACACATTATTATCTCCTTTTACCTGGAGGTGCTTCTTGTTCCAAAAGCGATTTGTCATACGATTGTTTCTTAGCGTAATACTGCTTAAACGTGCGCTTGACTGGAAAATCCGGGCTTTGTTGCCCCATTTCTGCTAATAGCAGCCTCACCACGGACTGCGATAGAGCAGGATGGTTGCTAAAGACCTGCAAACATAATACCAAAATATTGAGATAAAGCGACTACTCTAACACCTATGAGTAGTAGTCACATGCCAAAATTTCTGACAATTTCTGACATAACAATGTCTTTGGACATTCATCTACAGCCAGACTAATTCTCCGCCGTGGGTTATTAGTGTGGACGGATGTCAGCACCATTTATCACAGATTCTGTACGGACACAGATATATAGTAACCTTGTGCGACATCGTCTGCTGGTCAGAATTGCTGCTGACAAGATGAAAATCTCCCGGCGCTGTCACGGGCGCAAGTTTCCATTCGTCTCTCGACCTACAGGGAAACAGAAAATATGCTGTGATTAGAACAACGGCTGCTGCAACAAACGCAGCTACGATATTTAGCGATGCAGACAACGACCTGCTACGTAGCAGACGACCTACCGAGTTTGTAGCGTCACATCCTCCGGTTCGGACAACGTCCACACCCAGCTGGCATCGGCCTGCTGCACGTGACTGACCTCCGGCCAGGGGGAATACTCCGGGATGGTTGACATGTCAAGCGGCTTCACTGCCTGCTGCTGTTTACGAACGGCATCCGGTACACTGCTCATGAGAAACTTGAGTCTCGTCTGGTAACGGTGACAAATCAAAAGGATTAGGAGCCACGTTACAATCAGTGTTAATGAAAGTCTAATGAATCTCACCAGCATGAGGCGTTACGCGTACGAATTAACGTATCATTACCCGTACAGAGGTGTATACATGAGGTATGGGATACCCTCACCTCGTACATAAGTGTACACATGGAGTGTGGCGTACCCTCACCCTGTACATAGTTTATCAGGCAATGGGGTGCCTGCCGTACGCCTCACCTGCGTACATAGTGGCTACACAATGGGGTGGTGGAATACCCTCACCACTCGTCATAGGTGTACCACATGGCGACGTGTGGCATACCCTCACCTCGTACATCAGGTGTATTCACATGAGGTATGGCCGCCTACCCTCCGGCACAGCTCGTTACATGAGGTGTCACACATGGCGTGTGGCGTACCCTTGCGCGACCCTCAGATACCATAGTGTACACACGCTGGGGTGCTGGCGTACCGCTCGGAGCGCCCCTCCTGTCCGTACATAGGGTCGTACACTGGGGTTGTGGCGACCCTCACCGCGCGCCACGCTCGTGTACTTAGTGTGCTACACATGGGGTGTGGCGTACCCCTCACTCCGTACATAGGTTGTACACATGGGGGTGGATACCGCTCAACTCGTACATAGGTGTACACCATGGGTGTCGGATACCACTCCACCCGTCGTAACATTAGCGGTGCTACCATGGGGTGTGGCGTATCCACGCCTCACCCTCGTACATAGGTGTCTACACAGGAGGTGTGGCGTACCCTCACCCTACGGTACACTACGCTCGTACACCATGCGGGTGCTCGGGGCTACCCTCTACCTCGCTACCATCCACGGCTGTACCACCATCGCAGGTGCTGTGGGTACCCATCGACCCATCCGCCTCAGCATCTCCGCAGCTGTCAACCACATGACGGTGTGGGCGTACACTCACGTCGTAACCATACCCAGGCTACGGCCATCTATGAGGTAATGGCCGTACCCTCACCTCAGTAGCATAGGCTGTACCCATGCGCGTGCCTGGCGTACCTCACCCCTGCCGTAGCATCAGGTGTCCACCATGCGCGTGTGCGTACACCTCCACCTCGCTCACTTAGCGTGCCTCACCAATGCGGGTGCTGCGAATCACGCTCCCCCGTTTGCCCAGCCCGCTGCCCTCGCTCCGTACCCACTGTCGCCTTCGCCGACTGCGTGCTACCCACCGTGGCGCCCGCTGTCCGGCGTACCTTCTACCGTCCGCCGACATCGGATCGGTGCTACCACCATTGACGCTGTGCCGTACCCTCACCCGTTCACACTACCTGTGTACCCACATCGGGGTGTCGATCACTCACCTGCCGGCTCCGTACACTAGTGTACCACCATGACCGTATGGCGATCACCCTCACTCGCTCACAGTAGTGTACACCATGCGGGTATCCGGCCGTACCCGACTCACCCTCGTACATAGGCGCTGTACACACTCGGGGCCCTGTGGGGTACCGCATGCACCTCCAGTACATCTCAGCCGTGTACCACATCACGCGCTCGTGGCCGCGTACCCTCACATCCGTACCATAACGTGTGACACATGGGGTGCCTAGCGTACCCTCACTTCTACATTTAGTGGTACACCATGGCGTGTGCCGACTACCCTCACCCTCGTACACTCAAGGCTGTAACACATAGGTACTGGCCGTACCCGTCCTCGTGAATAAGGTGGCACACCATTCAGGCGTGTCGCGCGTACCCTCCACCCTCGTACCATAGGCTGTAACATGGCGGTGATACATCGCTACAAGTGTATCGATACATCCACGCGGTGTGGCCTACCCGTGCCACCCCTGCTACCGATCACACTGTACGCTACGCATTGCGGCGTGCGGCTACTACACTTGTAAGATGGGGGTAATGTACCCTATGTCATCTGTGTACACCGTGGCGTATCGCATACAGTTACGTGTTCGTCTAAACTGCCAGAAGTGTAAAACAAACCTCTCTTGCGGCAAGCTCCTGCGCTGTGAGCGGTTTCTTCACCAGTATGACATCGGCAGATGGCGCGAATATCGGTGCCAGCTTCTTTCCTGCACCATTCAGCAAGATGCAATGCATTTATTACGCAATTTTACATTAAAAAATTTCAAATTTAACATTTGACACATCTAACAATTAAATTTCACACTCGCAACTCTCACTGCGGCAACACACGACATTGTGGCAAACGGCTTCTGCTGCAGCTAGTCACTCACAGTCACTCTGCACAGCAAGGTTAGTGAATTCTTCAGAGGACTTGAGATCCTGCTTTTGTTTTGTCTCAATTGCTCTAGTATTCGAGGTTGACACAACCAATGCAAATCACTTTTTTCGAAATTCTTTCAATTAAGGGCCATAGATAATTTTCAGGACTTTCCGGACTTGGTAAACGTCATTTAATGTTTTTTTTAGACGTTTTAAGGTGTTTTTTCGATGTTTTCCAGAACCCGTGCGAACCCCGTTACTACCTTTCTTCGGGGAGTTTCTTGGGCTGCCGCGCGTCGCTTTCCCGCCGTGCCTTTTCCTCTTCGGAGTGGAAGCTCCTTCGTCGTCATCGAGCACAAGTTTGCGCTCCTTCTGCTTGCTCCCCGGTGTGCTAACCTCTCTGCAGGACCTGCTTGGTGTTCTCTCTGTCATATGTCGTATCTCCTCGCGTGCGAGGAGAGCGCAGGTCCTAGTCGATCTTCTCGGTGGATCCTGTGACAGAAACGAACTACGTAAGAAAGTGCACTGCAACAGGAAGATTTGCTGTTCCTCCTCTACATATGGCTGGTCAAAATACTAGCAATTATTCAAATTGAACCCAAGTTACCATTTTTTGATTAAAAAAAATCTCCCTGCTTTGAGGTTATTTTTAAGAACGTTTCCCTGAACTCAATAATTTTAACTATTACATTGGTCATCACCAAAAAACAATCTTTACTTTTTTTAAATCACGAATATGTGAAAACTACTTACCTGGACCTCCGATGCCATTGACACTTTTTTAGTTTTTGGGTGTTTCCCGGTGTCCTTTCCTAAGGATTTCGTACTGCTCTTATTTTGTCTAGCTTGTAGTGTTGTTAAAGGTCGCTTTCCTTTCACCTTCTTGGCCTTCTTAACCAGTTTTTTGGCTTTCATGAGCTGAGTGCCCTAACAACACATTTGGCACTTGGTTACAACATATATTACTGTAACAACAAACAACATTTTAACACATTGTTCTAGAAATAGGTAGGAATCATACCTCACTCTTTACCCAACAACACAATTAACTGTTGCCAAGCATGCTTTTAACTATATAATGACCTAGAATTACCAGGAAAACGCCACACCCCTCTGATGATGCTAACTCCCTTCCCATTCTCCCCAGTATGTTTCTATTGATTCCACAACACAATGGTCTACTCTGATTCGTGTCAGGGTGAACCTGTACAAACTTAATACCCGTTTCTTCCCGGCTAGCATCTGTAAAGACAGTTTATCGTCACTTCGCTGGCTACCGTTGGGAGACGTCTTCGATACTCTCCTCAGCCTCAAGCGAAACGGGCTCCCGAGTTTACCAGGTGTCCGCCTCACCAGCATCGACGAATAAATCGCTTCAATGACACACATTAAAACGCAATATTAATATCCATATAATACTAGGAACATCAACACATATGCGCGCACGGTACGATACCATTTGAATCGCTCTTTCCGATTGTTACAACCGTTGGCATTAACGTAAGCAATGCAATAATATTCAGCACGAGTAGAGAAGGCATTTACCTTGCTCCCTCCTTTGTCTAGATGACGTTGTGGACTTCTGCATCTTTGCTACCGGCTTAGCACTGCGTCTTGTCGGTTTGCTTGCCCGCACTGGTGAAACTACAATGAACTCTGAAATGGACGAGTCCAACTGTTCATTCGTCTCGTTTCTCTTCTTCGCGTAAGATTTATCCGTTACTCCTCGACGCGCGCGCTCCTGCTTGGGCGTGCTCATCACTGTCCTCGCCTCGATTTTGAACTCGACCACAGAGTCGTCCGAATGGACGTCCGCCGACGCTTCCGTGACGCGTTCGCTCTCTCCGGCCTTCTCAACGACCTTCACGGGACTTTTCAACTTCATGTGGCCCTTCGCAAAAGCCAAGGTCATCTGCTTGCATTTCTTGGGCACGGTGAGAGAAGGCTGCGGCGCTATCACCTCGGAACACGTCTCCGCTTTGTCGCCATCACTGCGACCTTCTCCGGCGGTGCCCGCAACACGTTGAGACGGATCACCACGGTGATGGGGACCAGAGCTCTCTGAACTGAAGCCATGGCCGTGGTGAGAATCACCCGTCTCTGCCGATATCTCTTCGGCATGCAACTCGTCCTCTCGTTCTCTACTGCCACTGGACTTCTCCTTGACGGCCGGACCAGACGCGAGAGATTTCTCGGCGATATCGGCAGCGTCCGTTGCTCTACCGGAGCGTTCTCCGCCCGCTTGATTGCTGCAGGCCGCCCCTCGCGAGGCGTCCGCTGTAGGGCGGCGTACGTCAGCTACCCCGACTTGTCCCGGACCGCTCATGTTCTCGATGCCCAGATCAATGTCGTCCACGAAGACGTTCGACTTCCTCTTGCACTTGTCGCCGTTCTTGCCGAGCGTCGGAGTTTCCGCGGGCGGCGGCGACGTTTCGGGGACGAGTACGCGTGGCGTCCGCCCCGCCGGCCGCTTGTTCGGACTTTGCGGCTGCGAGTGAACGTCAGCTTTCACCTTGATCGTGTTGGACGCGAGACTGCCGCTCGCTTTTTGAAATTTTGCTGCCGGCTTGAAGAATCTCGCTATGCTGACTTGAGGGGCGACTGTGACGGCCTCCGGCTCTGTGTCGACTATGTCGGAGTCGTCCTTCACGTTAACTCGTTTGGCGCGGTCACCGAGAGGTGTCGGTACTTTATCCGGGATATCCTCGTTCTGGCGCGATCCGGTCGAAGCAATTTTGGTCTTGGCGTCTTCTTTCTGATCAGCCAGCCAGTTCTCAAATGATATCGTCAGCACATCCTCCCCCTCCTCTTCCTTTTCAGTCTCCTCTACAGACTTAAGCTCAACAACAAGGTGGCTCTCTGAATTTGTACTCGCAGCCTTGATTTTTAACGTTGTCACCGCCATTTTGTTATCATCGTCACACGAGGTATCGGACATCCCAGTGAATAGATTTCGTGTAGCGTCTTCTAGTCGAACTTCATCAGTTTTGCTGGTGGTTTTACCAGTATGTGTAAACCGAGCATGTGCACAGCTATCCTCGTCGTTGCCACTGTCAACAGAAGTGATTCCGCTCTCTCGATCATCTGGAGAATCATCGTTGGCGCTTTCCTGCTTTGCCACAGTCTCTGAGAATTGTGCCAACCAGTAGGCAGTGTCACTGCCTGTGCACGCAACTGTGCCGGCAACTGTGGAAGGTGACGCAAAAGCCCGGGAATCGCTATTCGATGAATCTGGGTGAACGACCAGAGATGCGTTTGGCGTCGACCCTGACTGAGACCCATCATGCTCACTGCTTTGACCACTGTTGCTATTACGATCATCTGGATGCCCAGGGATGCTCTTCGTAGCACAGGATTCATCGGTAGACTTAGACGTAGTCGTTTGCTTCGTCGACTGGGTTCTCACATCTTTGGCATCGCCATTCAGGGCAGTTCTTTCATCTGCTTTCGGTTGATCATTACAATCATGTGAGCCTTTGTTCTCCACTGTGACATCATTGTTGTTGTTCGTGGACTTCTTCACATTTCGATTGCATCGGCGCACTCGTGCGGGCCGGCTGCCCAACACTGCCAACGTCGTGGCTTCCATTTCTTTTGCACCTGCATGTCGCGAGGTCACATCACTTGCTTTCGTGGTAACTGCTTCCTCTGTGACATACACACGTTTCCCAGTGTTGGCAGTGTTTCCTGATTTCAAGAGATGATCTGCATGGCTCTGTTTCGAGTTGGCAGCCTGGTGTAGCAATGGCTGGAAGAAGCTAGCAATAGACCGGGTCTTGGCAATCCCACTCGGTGTTACCTACAAAATAAAATGCTCTACTAATACCAACTACACATTCTATTACCGTAAATATAACAAGTAGATGAAAATGACGTGATAAGAATTTAGCATAAGCATATTAACATTAGCATTCGAAATTCTGGTGTGTACCTTTATACCAACCCATCTAACCATATTATGTGATGCTACAGTACAGTAGAAATCTGATGTGTCTCTGGTAGTGGTAACACTCCTATCCCGTGTAAAGTGACTACTAGCACTATGGCTCTCATTAGCTCAGACCAACCAACAAACACTCTTACCTCATGAACAGCATTGGACTTTGCCATAACTACTCCAATCATGTCGCTGCTACAACTGACACTGTCACTGTCAGTCTGTCCCTGGAACGAGTATCAGTGTCACGAGTACTAGAATTACACAGCCCGTAAGATACAGTACAGATTAGTGCGCGTGTGTGCGCGCACGCCTTGTATACGTGTATACTGTACGGGTCGATCGTCCACACCGTTCATCCTGCCTACATAAACCGAAACTAGTATCTACGCGGCTATCTGCGTCGATCACGACACACAGTTTTATGAAGATTTGTCCTTACTTGATACGTCGCGTGACTAATAGTAATCTATACTTGGTTTCTTCTTGCGATCTTTCCTTGGCAGGGATGTGTTTTAGATTTCAGTGTGCTCGTATGCCCACGCCGTAGATAATGCTATACAAACGATGCGATTGTGCTCGAAAGGACGCGCTGTGTGACGGACTATACACCCACACACATAGCGTGTGTATAATGCAATTCCGGCCCACGTCATTGCTAATTAGTTTGGGGAGACTGATTCACGTCCGTGTGTAGGGCTATTAATCGTGGTGAGAACGAGCGGATCAATACTCGGATCGCATCGTAGATGTTTTCGTCGAACGCCGATGTGTTACAAACAAGTGGCACTCGTTATTGCGACGCAAAAAAAAATTCCCGTCTAAAACGTGTAATGTTTAGTAACGAGTGCCTGTCTACTACGCCATTAGTAAGGTAATGAGTGAGACAACATCTCTAGACGTCTATTAGTGTACGTTAATTAGAGCATTTCGCTGCGTGTACTAACGTCACCGCGTAGAATTGAGATGCTTCACCGCAACAAGGTATATATATATATATATAACTAAACACGTTCGCACGTATATATCCGCAGAGGACGGGAAATATTTTTTTCCCAATTTTCCTCTATTTTGCATTGTTACTGTGTGACATGTGAAAAACAAACAATTTTCATGAAGTAGTTTTTGTTTGGAACTCAGGAGGATATATACGTGCGAACGTGTTTAGTTGTAGATACTATACACATGATTACACGCTTTAACGTTAACGTTTCTATCGTATAGAGACGAGGGCGTGGCGGCTGACATGTTTGTTGTGGATCGTCGTGTGTAGCGGTGGTATGATCTATCTCATCTACATGACGGTGCTGCTATTAGAAGGAAAGATTGCCAACCCGCTTCAACACGAGGAAGGAAGGTGTGTGAATATCTAGAAATATTACACAAAATAAGAAAACATGTAAATGAGGATGTGCGGCATCATGATCACAGATTCACAGATGTCAGATCTGTTCTGTGCTGTGAATAAGTACATGGTACGGATATTGCTAGCATTAATCCATCAGGAATCCTTACCTATACATGCCCTAGCCAATACGTGAAGTTACACTTGCATATAGCTTAACAAACTTCAGCAAAACAACTAAAGTTTAACAACAACACAAATACCAAAGAAATTTCAACGTAAACAGGTACATTGAAAATGGCGCGAAACAAGTAGCGCCACCTTGTGATAAACAAATGATTTATATTGTTAAACGCCACAGTGGCTGAGTAAAAACGCTACATGGAAAAGCAGTATACCTACAACTAAAGTGATCGCACTCTGCCTATCAGCCTATGTGTTTATATTTTTAAGTTGCAAAAATCACAAGAGGAAGTTAGAGCTGGGGGGGGGGGGTCACAGTATCGCATATGGTACGCACCATAGAAATAATATACGATACGTGTCTCTATAATATTTCTATATGGTAGGCCTACGCACCTTTGCCCACGTTCGTTGCCGCGTTTTTTTTAGCATTTAGGAGTAAGTTCAGAAAGGATTTTTTGTCAAGAATGCAAATAAAATAAATTTTGAGAGATATCTGTTATCTGTTTATTGGCAGAAGTACAAGATTATCACACAAGTTAGTGTCTGAGACCTCTAGGAGAGAGCGAGGTGGGGGAGAGAGAAAAATGTATAGGCATATCGAGAGAGGGGGCGTGGGGAAGGGGGAAAATAGGGAAGAGGAAATGGTAAACTGAAATTGTAGGTATAGGCCTTGTCAGCATGTGGATACGTCATCAGATCATAATTATTCTCCACAACCTGCATCTGAGCTGTAGAACATGAGCAGCTATAGGCAGTGAAAACAACGTCCATCCTACTACATATAGCGTTTATACGCATACGGCCAAAGTGCACATGGTGATAGAGCTCTGCTTCACGCATATTGACCGCTGATATATAATCTATCTCGACCTCACACACACACAAATCAATATAGATATCCGATAACACTGTATTACAGAGTGTATTTAAATGCACAGAAGTCTTGGTTCGTTTTGTCCCTGTATATCCTCATTTGGGGCCCGTCCACTCCCCCGATCGAGCGTAGGAAATGAGCGACATGGGGGAGAAAAAATCTCACCCATCCATATTGCATGGAGGCAGCATCTGCGTTCGCCGCCAGTCGCTCAATCTTCATGGCAATACGCCTATAGCGCACGATTTTATCCACGATAGCAGTAGTCGCTATCGTAGCTCTTGCGCCGACATCAGAAGCGTTGGCGTGCGAGTGTATCTGAGCGTCGCGGTTGCACATGTTCGCGGAGGTATAGCGAAAATATACGCCGAAGAACCTATAATATTAGCACGCAACCGCATGAATGATTGAAAGGTATACTTTTGGCTCTAAAAGGTAAGTGTACGACTTGTTTTCATAAATTTAAATTTAAATGGCCCTTAATGTTGTGGGTAAATGTATATATAATGATTATAATAGTTGTTGTTTTTAGCTCAGCTCTTCTTAGTCCTTTTTGCCACGTGTAGATTTGTCCTGGCCTTATTGTATATATATATAGATATACGTCGCGAATGCGTACGGATTCCATACAGAATTGTAGGGAAACATAGAATTATTGCCTCATATTTACAATACTGCATTGGCGGCTACGTTTTGGACGCGTGCATACGAGCAAAGGTCTGTATTTTGATAAGAAATTGTTGCTATGTTGGAGCTGCTACATTATTTAGCTCTAGATTACCACGCCATGCCTACGCTATTACTCTATAACCTGACGTGCAGCGGCAATATATTGCACCGTGTGTAAGGATTGGTGATAAGTATACGCGCGGTTGTTACAGCCCCCCGTATACCTGCCGCCTATTTACATACGTCAATTAATATAATGAAACCTGTAGATTAGCGGAATAGCCGATTAAGTGTGCGTGCGTGAAGGCGAGCGTTTATATCCGTACCGCTAAGCCTCATACTTACGGAAACAGGCTACAATCATTGCACGTGGGGGATACAAGGCAGGTAGACGCCACCGTGTTTATAGTTTATAGTTGTCAATTTTAATTCACAAACGCACATATAGACTGACGCGCGCGCGGTAAATACGCGTACGATTCGCGTTCGCTTTTCCTCAAACTGTATAGGGACATAATTCAGGCGCTCGGGATTCGATTCGAATCGGGATTCACTTCGCGTGCGTGCGTACATCTGACGAAGCATCCATGCATCTCCGCGCGTGCATGTGTGTGGCCATGTGAAGCGGCTTATTAGTTTACAAATTTATTGCCGCTTGCGCCATATACTGACACCACTTTGCTTGCTCAATCAATTCTGCACGTCAGCTAATTCAGCAACAGCGCGATCCTCTGTGCACGGTACAGATTGCAAGAATATTTGGCTGACGATAAAACTAGAAAACAGTGAGACACGGCCAGAATGGTGTATACACGCTGCAAACGGATCAATACTATGTGATGAGGACAAAATTGGTAGGCCTATATCGTCGTGGATCGCCGTGCGCTTATATATGTATTGCACGCATGCGCTGCAATGTTCATAATGTAGCGGGCAGTGCCCCATTATGTAGTAAAAATAGGGAGTTGACATTGGGTTAGCATTGGAGAAAGTATGTGGGGGCATGGAGACGCAGGAGAGAGATGGAGAAGGACGTGAGAGGGGGAAGACAGATGGGCGGTCGGACGGACGGGCGCTGGCGGACAGACAGACAGATAGTGTGGGTGGTGGCAGAAAATTAATGAGATGGGAGAAAGAGCAGATTGAGGCGACCATGACACCGTTATAGACACGCAGATGGCCAGAGGGGCTTGCACGCTGACGGAAAGAGGCGATACTTTGATGGTGACATTACACGCTCCGTATATCCCGTAACAAAGAACTCTAGCATCTGCGCCCGCTGCTCGTCAGTCACCCATACACCTTAGCTCGCCAGATTTATTCCCGCGTGTACATAGACAGGCTTGTCGTCAATTCACGGCGGATATAGTAGTTCATGTTGATGCACAGAGGAGGCGGCAACAAGGGGATTGTCACCGACTACAAAGAACATAGGTATCTATTCTCAGCTTCTCCGCGTGCTGCTCCTGGTTAAAAATCGAATTGCGACATGGTTAATGTAGTTATCGCAAAGCTACAGCGCGGTAGGCGTGTGTGCGTACGTGCGTGCGTGTGCGTGCATGCGTGCGAGCGCGGTTGCGGATGTGCGTGCTACTGCGTGTTATGTACGGTATAGTGCTGCAAACGTGGAATGTGTTTCCTAATGAATGTAATGAGGAAGACAGATGGCCGGTTAACGAGCCGCCGTTATCCTTATATAATTATTAGATTTCGCAGCGAAGGTTGGCTCTAAACGCGCTCGCAACATTCTCATCGTAGAATTTTAATCATCGATCGACATTTCTTAGAGCAGAGGGCTGTTATATAAAGCATCCCCATAATAAATATTCACGAATTAAAAATGTTTGCACTTCGACGACATGTCCGATTCATAATAAACTCGCTCAATTCATTCGAGCCGAATAAACCAACTCGAATTTTGTGTTGAATTAAGAGAGCTCGAGAGGGGCGCACACGAACAAAAATGCTTTCCGTAGGAGATAGCCGCAATGTGTTACAGAGTACGTACATACCGGGCAATCAATAAACTGCTGAATCGGCGCAACTGTCCGTGTAACTAGAGTCCGTTGGGAAATGGGTGTTCTGATGATAATCGGTGAAAAAAAAACCTGCGGCAATGAAGCCCGTGAAGTGAAAATTGCAAGCGAGAATGGGAGCATGATTGTCTAGAGCCAAATGGAGGTCCCGACAAGGGTGGAGCCCGTCTAGCGTAATACTGTAGGAGTAAAAGAAGTACATGTTTATAGATGGAGCAAGCAGAGTGGGAGCGCGATTTATGTAGACCGCCAGTCTCGGAATCAATTTCCAATTTCATCGTCAGCTATTAACTCCTATCATGTGCTTAATGCTAGACTACAAGGGCGGAACTCAAAGCTGTCCCGAAGATAAGTACACAATGTCATACGAGTAATATCACGTACGTCTGCCAACCCCACCTTTACTGACCCTGCCTCCTCTACCGACCCTGCTTCCTCTACCGACTCACCTGCCTCCTCTATCCGACCCTGCCTCTCTTCTACCGCGTCCCTAGTCCTTCCTCTACCGACCCGTGCTTCCATCTACGACCCTGCTTCCTCTACACGACCCTGCCTCCGCACGACCCTGCCCTCCCTCTACGCGCCCTGCTTCCTCTACCGACCTGCCTTCCTCTACCGTACCCTGCCTTTTCTTACCTGACCCTGCCTTCTCTACTGACCTCTGCGCTTTCTCTACGAAATCCTGCCTTCCTCTACCGGACGCCTGACCCTCCGCTCTACCAGACCCTGCCTTCTCACACTTCTGCCTCTTTTCTACCGACCCTGCCTTCTCTACCGACCATGCCATCCTCTACCGACCCTGCCTCTTCTTACCGACCCTGCCTCGCCTCTACGTACCCTGCCTCCTCTCTACACGACCCTGCCTCTTTTTACGACCCTTTCCTTCTCTACGGACAAGGGCTCCTCTTACTGACCATTGCCTCCTTGTATCGACCCTGGCGTTCTCTACCGACCCTGCCTCATCTACGACCCTGCCTCCTCTATCCGACCCTGGCTCTCTATCCGACATCCTTCCTCTTCTACTGACCCTGCGTTCTCTACGACTTTGAGCTCACTCCCGTCTTGACTCGACCCTGGCATCCTCTACCGACCTGCTCCTTTCTTACCGACTCCTGCCCCCACCCAATCATGCCTCCTCTGACTGACCATGCCTTCCTCTACCGATCCCTGCGCATTCTTCTTACCGACCCTGCTTCCACTCCTCTAATAAAAAAGCCTCCTCATACTCTGACCATGCCCCCTCTGACCCTGTTCCGTTCTCTACCGACCCTGCCCTCCTCTAGACCGACCCTGCATCCTTACCGACCCTGCTTCCTCTACCGGACCCTGCCTTCCCTCTACTGAACCCAAATTATAATAATAATCAATGAATAACTTGCTTCCTTCTACCGAGCCCTGCCTCCTGTCTAACGATCCATGTCATTCCTACTACTGTACCCTGAGCCTCACTTCTAACGAGAATCTGCCTCCGTCATACTGACCCTGCTTCCTCTACTGACCACCTACCATTCTATCTGGACTCCTGACAATGTTCTCTAAGCGACCATGCTCCTCCTTCTACCGAATCCCTCCCTCTTCTAATCTTCGACATATAGCCTCCTCTACCCGACTCCTGCCTCCTATCTAAACCGTCCCTGCCGTTCTTTTTACCGACCGCTGCCTTTCTAACGACAAAGTGCCTTTCCTGTACTGTACACAATAGCCTCTCCTACTACCACCCTGCCTTCTCTACTGCTCCCCGTGATCCTCTCTCTGACCGATCCCTGCCTCTACTCTACGACGCGATCAGCCTCCTTTTACTTGACCCCTGCCGGTTCTCTACCGGACTCCTGCCCTCCATCTTACGACCCTGCCTTCTCTACCGACCCTGCCTCCTCTACCGACCCTGCCGGGTCGGTAGAGGATGCCTCCTCTACCGACCCTGCCTTCTCTACCGACCCTGCCTCCTCTACCGACCCTGCCTCCTCTACTGAGTATGCCTCCTCTACCGATCATGTCTCCTGCGCTGACCATGCCTGTTCCAGTGACCCTGCCGCTATTCTCATCGCACTGCACTTGCAAAGCAATTAATAAATAGACTTAACATAATAGCAAAAAATAACTAATAAACAGAAGAGCTAACAAACGCTATTACATCCCTCGAAGGTGACAGCGTAGGTCGTCGCGCGCTAGGGACGACGCAGACGTCGGCATGGCCGCCCCGGAAGCCCGCCTGGATGTATCCTACCGTCGGTTAGACGACAAGAGTGACGCCGCGACGCAGTCCTCGCGCAAGTCCCGCTGGTTGCTAACAATCTGGCGAGGTGCCAACATTGTGATGACGGTGTTTTTCCTTCTCGCCGTCTGTGTACAGGTACTAATAACCGTCTTTCATGATATAAGTTACGCGTGTGCATGCGCGCGCGTGTATGAACAGCTCTCCGTATTGCAGCTAAGCGCAATAGAAATTGCGTGCGCGGCACTGTGTATACGTCAGTGCGACTAAAGAATAGCAGAAAAGGTCACGACTCACATCCAGAAATTACATCCGCTCTGTTGACCGTAGCCAATTGAAAGTGGGTGGCACGTAATAACCATTCGTAATTGCTTTTAATCTATATGTCTATATTTCTTCAGGGGATATCGTAAATATGATATAAGTAATGGAAATAATATCAAAATAATAACTATATTGAAAAACCAAAGTGAATAAAAATTTATGCGTTTTTATTCACTTTCGTTAATAACAAACATGAAAATAATAACTATATAATTAAGAAGGATGAACTTGTGATTTTATATACTAGCAAAGATAAAGTAATAATTAGATTAAAATATTTTATTTACAGTTCAATGACCCTGATCCGTACATTTGGATAGTAAGTATAACTCAACTTCTTACAGTTATCGGTACGCACGCACGCACGCACTCGCCCACGCACGCACACACACACGCGCGCGCGCACACACATACACACACACACACACACGCACACACACACACACAC